GGTGCTTCCTGTTTGGATCTGGCGGGCACAGGTGCTTCCCGTGTGGCTCTGGCAGGCACAGGTGCTCTCTGTGTGGATCTGGCGGGCACAGGTGCTTCCTGTGTGGATCTGGCGGGCACAGGTGCTTCCTGTTTGGATCTGGCAGGCACAGGTGCTTCCCGTGTGGCTCTGGCAGGCACAGGTGCTCTCTGTGTGGATCTGGCGGGCACAGGTGCTTCCTGTGTTGATCTGGCGGGCACAGGTGCTTCCTGTGTTGATCTGGCGGGCACAGGTGCTTCCCGTGTGGCTCTGGCAGGCACAGGTGCTCTCTGTGTGGATCTGGCAGGCACAGGTGCTTCCTGTGTTGATCTGGCGGGCACAGGTGCTTCCCGTGTGGCTTTGGCGGGCACAGGTGCTTCCTGTGTGGATCTGGCGGGCACAGGTGCTCTCTGTGTGGATCTGGCGGCCACAGGTGCTTCCTGTGTGGATCTGGCGGGCACAGGTGCTCTCTGTGTGGATCTGGCGGACACAGGTGCTCTTTGTGTGGATCTGGCGGACACAGGTGCTCTCTGTGTGGATCTGGAAGAGAAGGGTGCTCCCTGCGTCATCTTCTGCCTCCACTGCGGTGTGGTCTTCCGTGTTGCATCTGAGAAGCCCGAGTGCTGGAAATGAGCCTTCTCAGATGCATTACAGAAGACCAGGGATGAGGGACATGATGTTTCTCCCGCCTCCATTGTTTCCCCCCACTGGCCTGAGATGTCCCCGTACTCATAATCCTCAGGTATGGGGTCCGAAACCTCCATTATCGCCCACCACCGTCCCGCAGCAAGGGCCGTAGTAAGCTCATCTGAGTACTCAGTAGATGATGACTGCTCTGCACTCTCAAAAATGGTGGGCATGGTTGACAAACTCATATTGATGTTAGATATGTAGAAAATGAACTGGAAGTGAACAATACTATTTGCAATATACTATCTGTGAAACACTATGAAAGAAAGAGAAAGGGAAAAGATGATTTGAGTAAACATACAGTACAAGAACCTGAAAGCTTGTTGTCTTAAGCCCAACGTAAACTTATGTCATCCACATTCCGCATTTTGTCATCTGAAGTTCAACAGACATCCATGTGTAGCCCAATTTTTGTGTTTGCGCTAACGGTGTGTGCTCAACAACGCATACGGTAGGTGATTGTTAAGATAGAAGAATGTTGACACGACTCAGTACTGCTCTTTGACATCTGCTAGAGTATAAATAAGAAATTGTGCGGTGTCACACTGGTCCACCAACTAATAGCTGTGTGGACACGACTGTGCGTGAGATGGAGTGGAACGTGGAAAATGTAGTAGGCCTTTAATTTTCTAAAAAATAAAAATTTATACAGTGTATGCCCAGTGGCGATCCATCAGAAGAGGCAAGTGAGGCTGAGAGCCTCCTTGAAATGTATTTAAAATGAAAAACGAAGCTAAAAAAGTTAATTGTTATTTTTATCAATTTACCTACTAATGTGAATAACTCAGATGCACATAATGTAAATGTATATAGTCATGTTTTATTTTGCCGGTTGTCAAGGCAAATTTGATTGATTTAAACAAATCAGCTTAAGGCAAATAAGCTTTCAGTATCACTTCAGTGTGTCATCAGATCTGCTATCGTTTTGTCCTTTGAATATAAATGATCTACAATTATATATATAAAATGATTTGATCATTATTGATTCACATATCATGCTCTCATTTCCACACAAACCAGTGTAGTCATGCCTATTTATTTATCTAAATGTAGCTACAGCAAATCTATACAATAACATTCCACAGTTTAAGCAAATTCTTCTGCAAATTATATAAAGATTAAAATTCAGATCCCCAAACCCAGTGTAAAAAGCATAGGCTACTCACTCAATCGCCGACTCGCTACAAGAAGAAAAAATCCGCTGCACTCATTATTACGTCACCGAGCGTTCTGAGGAATGCGGCGATCATTATGACGTACTCGACCGCGAGTTTGTGAGGGATGGGAGACCTAGGCTGTTTCGTTGTATTAAAAGTGAACATGCAATACAAACAAAGACTGACTTAGCATTTTTAATTCATGATTGTTGATACAAAAACTAACGCTGTTTATTTGTTAGCATTTGCAGCTGGTGCATAAACAAGAGCAAGTAAAGCTGCAGATGGGTAGCCATACGTTTTATTATGAAGCATAACAGACTGTACTGAAACAAAATTAATCAACAGATATTACAATAAAAGCCCATTTCTGAAACAGAATATAATTCACAAAAAAGTTCCTCTAGGCTATCCTTGTTTTTTCCCCTTCTATTTCTAACAATAGCCTAAGTTAAGCAACATTATCAGATGAGGAAGAGTGCTGTCCCGAACATCAGTAGGACGTTGATTAAAATAAACAAGTTGTTAATATTACATGACTTACATTTTGATCTATATCGCCAATGAAAATAGTTCCAAATAAATCTATAAATCGTTGCGCATCTTTGAGAAACGGTTTCCCTGACTGAAAACTTTCCATAAGTTTAGCGGCTTTAGATGCTCTCTGAAGCGCAGACAGAGAAGCGAAACATAACGATGTCTTTTATCCAACCCCCCCCCCCCCCCCCCCCGGCCATTTTGGAGGCACTGAACGTAAACAATGCCATTGAACTGAACGGACTCGCAAATTTGGCTGATTATTGCTGCTGACAAATGGTCGAGTTTTGGTCTGTACTAATCGGTCGCATCGGGAAAAAACATTTCGAGTTCTATCTACTGCCAAAAGTTAAAGAGAAGAGTGTAAAAAACTGATGAAAGAAGGCGTTTGTGGTTGAGAGAGGCACAGCATCAGCTCATCAACCACATGACATGTGTTAATGAAGCGTTGACTATGGCTAAAATGTTGACGTATTTAACTATGGCTACATTCACACTGTCAGTCCAAATCCGATTATCTTTGTATCCGATTGGAATCTGATCTAAAATGATGTCCACACTGTGTATCGCAACTGTTCAGATCCGATGTGTGTATCCATGCAGCTCTTAGGCAATATGGCACTGACATTGTGTTGATGGAGGGGTTTGCATTTGCAATCGAGATGTCGTCTTATTTAAATTTTACAACATGGGAATGTGTAGCCGCCGCGCTGGACTACTGCGTCTTGAGCTGCAGAACTGTATGAGGATATTATGCACTACAGCTTTTTTTCCGCGCTAGTTTCAAAATATGTTTCAGAAATAATAATGTTCTGCTCGTCCGGCACTTTGCAACAACACAGAATTGTTTCGACAGCGACTTTCAGCGTGTTTCCTCTAACGTCTGACGTTTACATTTAACGTGAGAGTCACATACCACGCGAAATCCGATCGTTCAGACTGAAGCCGATGCCCTGATATGTGATTTGAATAGGATTTCAAACCACATATGAATGTAGCTTGAAACGGATTTCATGTGCTTTTTTGGACTGACAATCTGAACGTAGCCTGTGTCGGGATAAGAAATAGAAGGAAGAACTGCAGTACGGGCTAGAGAAGCTAGCTCGTTCGGACCTTTACCACATATTAACTTTAGTTTGTCAAAATGTTTCGCTCTCTCCTGCTTACTAAGTCCTTCTCTATATGATTTCGCACCTACTACGTGTTTTTACCATGGTTTATTAGAGTAACAATGTGTTCAGTAGTACATAAACAGTGCAATCCATGCCGTTGTTTACATCCGAGTGCCTCCATAATGGCCGCGCATCCGGGTTACCGCCCAGAACATGACGTTGGTGACAACCCGCCGCATACTCAATGAGTAGGTACTTAATTTCAATGAGTACTTACTTAACGAATGTACTTAATTTAAAACAAACAAGTTTAAAGTTACATTTACATTTATTCATTTAGCAGACGCTTTTATCCAAAGCGACTTACAAATGAGAACAATAGAAGCAGTTAAATTAACAGTAGGACAACAATACGCAAGTGCTATAACCCCTCTCAGTTCAATTTTAGTGCAGGTTTTTTTTTTTTTTAAATAGAAGAGAAGAGAAAGTGTTAGTACTACTGAATCAAGTGCTGCCGGAATAGATACGTCTTCAGCAGTTTCTTGAAAGTGGCTACTGACTCAGAAGCTCTGGTTGAGTTAGGCAGATCATTCCACCAGCAGGGAACAGTCATGGTAAAGGTCCGGGAAAGAGATTTTGTGCCTCTTTGAGATGGTACCACTAGACGACATTCGCTAGCAGAGCGCAAGTTTCTGGATGGCACATAAGTCTGAAGTAATGAGTTTAGGTAAGAGGGAGCAGTGCCAGTGGTTGTTCTGTATAGGCAAACGTCAGTGCCTTGAATTTAATGCGAGCGGCAACTGGCAACCAGTGCAATTGTGTGAGGAGAGGAGTGACGTGTGCTCTCTTTGGCTCATTAAAGACTACTGTGGCTGCAGCATTCTGGATCAGTTGCAGAGGTTTGACAGAGCAAGCTGGAAGACCAGCCAGGAGAGCATTACAATAGTCCAGTCTGGATAAAACAAGTGCTTGGACAAGGAGTTGTGTGGCATGCTCTGTAAGGAAGGGCCTGATCCTCCTAATGTTGTGCAAGGCAAATCTGCAGGACCGGGCAGTTCTAGCAATGTGGTCTGTGAATTTCAACTGATCATCAATTACAACCCCAAGGTTCCTAGCTGACCTTGATGGAGTTATGGATGACGAGCCTAGCTGAATGGAGAAGTTGTGACGAAGTGTTGGGTTGGCCGGGACCACAAGCAGCTCTGTCTTCGCAAGGTTTAGTTGAAGGTGGTGGTCCTTCATCCAGCCAGAAATGTCTGTCAGGCAGGCTGAGATACGAGCAGCTACCGTCGGATCTCAAGGTTCCTGAGTAATTTTGAGACAATGCCATCCATTAGTGACGACAGTACAGTGTTTGCTTTACTCCATATACAAATTGTCTATTTTTTCTCTATTTTCTATTGCTTTTTGTTTTCAGTTCATAGTGTTTACCAAGTCTGATTTTCATCTCTCTACAGTTTGAGTGATTGTGAAATCACAGAGAAAGATTGTGCTGCTCTGACTTCAGCTCTGAGATCAAACCCCTCACAACTGAGAGAACTGAATCTAGATAATAGAAACCTACGAGATCCGGGTGTGAAGCTTCTCTCTGTTGTACTGGAGGATCCTGACTGTAAACTGGAGAAACTCAGGTAAGATCATCTACAGTATATCATAGTCAGACATGTTATTGTCTTCTATAAGACTAAATCAGGGTTCCACAAATCTGGCACTGGAGGGCCGCTGCCCTACGGAGTTTAGCTCAAACCCTGATAAACTCCCCTTCCTGTAACTCTGAGGACATGGATCAGCTTGTTCAGGGTCTTTAATTAGTGTTGGATCTAAACTCTGCAGGACAGCGGCACTTCAAAACCAGATTTGAGGAACCCTGGACTAAATGCTTTGATGTAAATTTTAGGACTACACTGCAGAAAATAAATGTATTTTTCAGTATTTTTGTCGTCTTTTCTTTTTTGTATTCTTAATTGAAGATACATTTACTTGAGAAGCAAAATGACTTAAAATGTTAAGTCTTGTATACTGAAAAATTGCTTATGTATCTTGATTTAAGATACATAATTTTTAGATATTAGATATTTAGACTACGTCTGGATCAGATTCAGGACGATGAGTAGATCAAGTCCAACAACACCCCCAACGCTTCACAGTCCTATACCTCGTCCTGCGTCGACATTTCATTAAGAAACATTATCAGTTTTGATTTTACATATGCATCTGCTTACATACGTGACCCATTCTGACAAAATGAGTCGCAATGAGCAAATTTTCATGACTGAGCTACACCTGTTTGAATTTTATAGTCAAAGTCAATTTTGAGAATAATCAAGTTAAAGTTTTCTGAAGGTTCCAAAACAAAATCCTCTACCAACCATACCTTAAAATATCTGGTAATAACACCAAATTTGGCAAACACCAAGTCAAAACCAAATATCTATAGGATCAATATATATTAAACTTTTTTCCCCATGATCCCACAATTGTTTGATTAACATTAACGAAAAAGAAAGCCTATACATTCGGACCTACTGTACTGCTGATCTAATATAATGTTACACATCAGATGTTTTTCTCCAACTGTTAACCAAATGTTGACACTTAAGACATAGCAGATAATGTTTGCTTGAATACTCGCCAAGACAGATATTTTGAAATACTGTAATTCTGTGTAGGTATAAGTGTATATCGGGGTCACGTGCGGTCTGAGGCGTCTTTGAGGCACGTTTCGAATGTGTCAGTCAATGTGAGTAAAATAATTTAGTTTAAATCAGTATGAGTCTGAAAATCACATTTCATTGGTTCAGACTCATGCCATCGAGAATTCGCTATGAATATTCACAAAGTTGGATTGCTACGCTTTAAAACAATACCAAACTTGTGCTGAGTGAAAGAACAGTCGTCGAGAAGCGAGCAGAGAAACTGCATTTTTCATGGACAAATGAAAGGTACTCCTATCAGAAAACGTACAAATAAAGATACTTTATATATAATTTCACTCCTCCCCCACTGTTTAACTCTTTCCGGTAATAAAAAAAAGTGCACACTTCTAGTCATCACCATGACTGAATAAATTGTTCAATATTATGTATCATTTTGAATCACAGAAGCAGGTTTTGTAAATCATGTGTCTGAGTAGAAAAGGGGCCTAGTGACGCCACTGAGAAGTGCCGGTACACAAGAAAAAGTGAGGGTACACCACAGCTTAAAATATAGAAGTGCTGGTGCGTACCGGCCCACTTCGAGCACTGCTGGAGGCACATCATCACTACACACGGCTTATACAGTAGAGAACTGTTGAGAGTACAGGAAGATTACTGTGAAAACAACAAAAATCATTTAAAAAACATAAACTCAATATAGCAATGCACTGGAGAACCGGGGCCCGTTCTTCATACGTGGATTACTGTTATCTGGATTTTACTGTTGGCGATTTTACATGATCCAGGATTGTTAGGTTCTTCAAACCTGAACTTCTGCAGAGCAGTGATGAATAAAGTAACATGGTCAGTGTCGCGCTGGTGAGATTAGTTTGCGCTGTCCATTCTGTTTCGCTGGCAAACACGTCCTCTCTGCGGTGTCGAGTCGGTCGCACAGCTCGGTCCATTGAGCCGCACCGATGACGTCAGCACGGCACGAGCTCTGTAACACCGCTCCGTTTCGTCCCACTGAAGGTGTGTTTGGCTTCCCATACAACTCGCTACAACTAACCGCCATTGCTTAAGAGTTTGTGAGACGCGCCACATTAAACAGAAGTGTGGACACACAACTTCTTTTTCAAGGGAAATTAGCCATCATCAACTACCGAAATGTTTTCTTATTTCAGTAATGCGTATGAATGAATTTCACCAAGGTTGATCAATGTTTTTCGTTTCACTAGTGTTTGAAACGCTTTTCAATAATTGTTGCCTATACGGCCCTTCATACTGGAGATCTCATATTTGTCTCCTCTAAAGTTTGGAAGAGATCTCAGCAACATCACACACTGTGCTCAGATTTTTTTCCTAAACTAAAGACCCTGGTGGTCTCATATTTGTCTCCTCCAAAGTTTCAGACAAGAATGAACATTGATCTAGTTCATTTGTACAGTATGGTGTACTGGCAGTATAGCAGTTTTGTCTAATTAGTGTAGAAATATGTGAAATGCTTATAAATCATTAAATGTTTAAGTTTTATAGACCACATTATTACACATTTTTCAAGTGTGTCCAGGCAGGGCCGGATTAACCATTAGGGCAACTGGGCACTTGCCCAGGGGCCCACGACATCTAAGGGGCCCTGGGCCCCAGGGGCGGAGTGGCAATCGGGAGTTTCCCCGGTGGGCCGGTAGTGTTTCGAGGCCGCGAGGGCCGGTCTGATAAAATGTATTCATTGCAAGTTCGCCATGCGCACTTTTGGCCCAAGTGAGGGGAAGGAAAAAAATATTTTAGATAACGGAGCGTATATTTGCACTAAGTGCCTGTCTTTTTAGTAAAAAGACGCCCGTCACGGGATAGCTACAGTGGCGTGGGTCGTAGCGCGTCAAGTGCTTGAAAGCAGTTTTGATGCGCTCGACCCGAGTTCGAATCCGCCTTTTGCCGAACTCTCTCTTCTCCCTTTTCCCAACACATATGAGATGTAGAATGTATAACCTAACATAAAGTCTCTAGCGTTATATTTTGCCAACGAAATAAAATCGAAACCATGATATGGCTTTGTGCCTTTATAAAACAGCACAATACTTTAAGAATAGGCATCCTGTTTGTGCTGGGTGATTTAAAGAAAAGTGTGCACTTTGCTAACGCGATCAGCATGGTTATCTGGTGTTTTCTCCTAAATAAAAGCTCAAGGGTTTATTTCTTGCAAGTGAAGAAATTAGGACAAACGTATTTTAATTTTCCTGTATTATAGTGTAATGTAGACTAAAATATACTTTTGAAATATTCATTTTCATTTATAGTACATTTATAGGCTATATGGATTTTACGTCATAGGAATAGTTATATAAATCATTATTACATTATTATAATAATTGTTTGGCATCCTAAAACACCATTGATAATGTAATGTAGACTGAGACTCTCATAACTAAAAAGATGTTTGAGCCCTCTTTATTGTCTTGGTACAAATCAATGCTTTTTCTTTGTTCAACGAGCAGTTCATGGGTTGAAGCTCTTAATTTTGATCTCTCAAAGAGCACCAGATTGATGCATTTAACCTTAAAATGTACAAAATTTTCTTGCGGGGGAGCATGCCCCCCAACCCCCCTAGAGGCACAGAGGTCCACCCAACATAGTTTTACAAATTCCTATGGGAAAGAACGACCATTCATGAACTTTACTCCAGCATAGTACAACAAAGTTCCTTTAAAGTCAGTAAAACTGTTAATGCCATATTAAAATGTCCTTGGACAAAATATACATTTGGCCTGCCTAAGGGGGGGCCTACAAGACATTGTGCCCAGGGGCCTCTGAACTCTTAATCCGGCCCTGTGTCCAGGCATATATTGTTATCCATTTAATATGAAGAGACAATTTTATTAGTCTTTTTCATTATAATATATATTATAACATTTCTAAAGACACTTATTTACTGTTGTGGTAATAAACACTTATGTGTTAAACTTCAAGCATGAAATTATAAGGCAACGCAAATAATAGAAATTACTTTAATAAATTACATTTATTCACTATACAAATAAATGTGAAATTCATTGAAAAGTTATGGAGGGTTTTGGGTAAGTGTATCCACAACGTTGGTGCCTACGTTCTGTTATTATGCATCATCATCATCATTGTTCCACGTTCTCATTGGTTTGCTGGCATTTGGGGGATGCGAAAGGAAAGCTGACTGTGAATAGAGCTTCAGGGATGACATCAAAACCTGGAAGACTAATTCGCCACTGGTTGCCTCGAATTTATGGAAGCTTGTTTCTGCCACGGGATAAAACAATTTAAAAGATAATTGTGACTTTTTATCTCGCAATTCTGACTTTTTCTTGCAATTGTTATTTATGTCACTTAATTGTGAGTTTGGCCCTGTCACAAATGGCACCCTAAACACTCGCGGTCTTCCTCTGAGTCCGCACTTTCGTGACGTAACGCCGCTTTGACTGTCGGGAAGAAGTCTGCTGCGGAGCTCGCTTCAGTGTGGGCTCAGCAAAAGTGGGCATGTAGGGCACATATCGACTGCTGAGCGGCGCTCGTGAGTCCCCTTCTGAAACCTAAAATTACTAAATGGACACCCTACAGTCTCATGGACTTAACGGGACGCGGAAGCCATTGTAAGTCTACAAGACTGAAAGTGCATATGAAGTGTGCCATTTGACAGGGCCTTTAAATCTCGGTGAGTGGATTCTGACAAAATGAAACGCCTCTGATTGGCCACTGCGTTCAATAGACCAACAAACATGACTGTGATTGGCTACATTTCTCACCGCTGTAAAAACACATTGTAAATAAACATTTGACGTTCTCCAGAGTTCAAACACAAAAACACACTTGAGAGTTTGCCAGTATGATATTATTACAGAATCAACTGAGGGTGCTCTTGCATTCATTTGAGAGATTTAAATTTGACTTTGTGATGTTTTTTACCCATGTTTTAATTTAACAAAAACATTATTTGTGATCAAGCATTAATTGACAGACGCCCTGCAGTACGGCTGCGGACACTTGTGTTAAACTGATCTGAACTGAGAGAGTGAAGAGTGTGTCATTGTTCTCTACAGGTTGAGGGATTGTGGAGTCACAGATGAAGGTTTTGCTGCTCTGACTTCAGCTCTGAGATCAAACCCCTCACACCTGAGAGAACTGAATCTGACTGGGAATAAACTAGGAGATTCAGTTCCTCTGCTCTCTGCTGTACTGGAGGATCCTCACTGTAAAATGGAGAATCTGAGGTAAGATTGTCTCTCTGATAGTCACACATGTCTTTGTCCTCATTTTAGAAGCTAATTTTGTCCTAAAATTCTTACTGTTCTATAAACACTAAATCTCAGCACAGAAATCACAGGTGTACACACATGTCTAATCTCATGATCTGGTATTAGTGTTCATTGTTACATTTAAAAAAATATTTCATTATTTAATCATTTTAGTGTGTTCCACTCTGACTACAATGACATGTTATTCAACAGTGTTTTCCCCAATGATGTTCCTGTATAATAAGTCAGTGGTTCTCAACCCTGATCCTGGAGTTTCACCAGCACTGCACAGTTTAGATGTCTCTCTAATCAAACACAGCAGATTCAACTCATCAGCTCGTTAGTAAAGACTCCAAGATCTCCGGTGGGTTTGGCAGAGAAGAGAGACATCCAAAATGTGCAGTGTTGGGCTTCTGCTGGGTGGTTTCTCAGATCTAAGAATGGACTTGTGTTCTTTGTGGAGAAAGAATGAACGTGCCCAAATGAATAGTTCAATATTATGTATCATTTTGATGCACAGAAGCAGGAAACGTAAATCTCGTTAATCTAAATCTGGAGCGCCCAAACCTGTTCCTGGAGATCTACCTCTCTGCAGAGTTCAGATCCAGCACTCCTGAACCAGCTACTTAAGCTCTTCAGGAGCACTTCAGAATTACAGTGAGTGCTGGTTAATACAGCAGTGTTTCCCACTGTTTCTGTGGCCTGTTGCATGAAGCCAGTTTCAGTTTCTCCCCTTGTAAGTTTGAGATTATTTTGAGCAAACTCTGTTTTTTCGGGCTCAAGAAGGTGGATTGGTTTTTAGCGGGTTCCATCGCCATGGTAACTAACTTGCGCTGCAGGATGACCTTGAATAAAATGAATTTATTCTGTGGTCGAGATCACAAACCAAAACTGGACCAATCAGCTGTGAGTAAAGTGACATGTATCTGATGCAATAAAGCCACTCCGCCTGTATCTCTCACTCCAAATTAAAGCAGTTTAGGGTGAATTTTTTAAATATTTATATTATATGAATTTAATTATTTATAATTCATATAGTATATTCATATAATCATTCTCTTAATTTAAAATTAACCCTAAAAGGGGTGATGTATCCTGGGAGATACAAACATTCAAGAGGCTGTGGGGAGAAGCAGGGAAAGTGTTGGTTTCATTTCTCAGTTTTCATGTCGATCTCCAGCGACGCTCCAGTTAGCACAGCTTGACTTGGAAATTGAGCACTCACTCACTCATTACGGAAACATATGAACTAAAACATAGCTTTATATCTTGCAAATAACATCAGAATAAAACGATTAAAACATTTAAGTTAACCTTTGTGTTACTCTTGTGTGCTTTCATCTTCACGATGAGTCTGTCACAGAGTGAAGAGGTGTCGTTGTTTTTTGAGATCATTTAGATATGTTGGATTATGAAGCACAGGTGTCGAAAGCTTTTTGAATTTCTTCATAAATTCTTTTTTTGATAAAATATTTTGACTGATAAATCTCCAATTGAAATTTAGACATATTTAATAGTCTGTGTAGAATTGTGGCTTGTAGTGTTGATCTGAACTGAGAGAGTGAAGAGTGTGTCATTGTTCTCTACAGGTTGAGGTATTGTGGAGTCACAGATGAAGGTTTTGCTGCTCTGACTTCAGCTCTGAGATCAAACCCCTCACACCTGAGACTACTGGATCTGACTGGGAATAAACTAGGAGATTCAGTTCCTCTGCTCTCTGCTGTACTGGAGGATCCTCACTGTAAACTGGAGAATCTGGGGTAAGATTGTCTCTCTGATAGTCACACATGTCTTTGTCCTCATTTTACAAGCTAATTTTAGTCCTAAAATTCTGTTCTATAAACACTAAATCTCAGCACAGAAATCACAGGTGTACACAAATGTCTAATCTCATGATCTGGTATTAGTGTTCATTTTTACATTCTTTTTAAAATGTGTCCTTTAGATTTAGTCAGTATTTCATTATATTCATTATGTTCAATAATTTGAGTCTGTTTCACTCTGACTACAGTGACAATCCTGTTCCCCCACGTTTACTCACCAGTGTTTTCCCTAATGATGTTTCTGTGCAATAATAGTGGTTCCCAACCCTGATCCTATAGTTCCCCCTGCACTGCACAATCCTTAATCGTTGAAGTTTCTGCTTTTAACAGCTCTTTCCGTAGCTACAAAAATACAATTCTTCAAAGTAGCTTTTCAAACACTACTAATGTACTAATATGAAAGATAATAAGCAAAAGAAATGTAATAACTTCATGCTGATCTTCATGGTCTTATATGCAGGGAAAACACCTGAACTTCTGTGGAGCAGTGATGAATAAAGTAACATGGTCAGTGTCGCGCTGGTGAGATTAGTTTGCGCTGTCCATTCGGTTTCGCTGGCAAACACGTCCTCTCTGCGATGTCGAGTCGGTCGCACAGCTCGGTCCATTGAGCCGCACCGATGATGTCAGCACGGCACGAGCTCTGTAACACCGCTCCGTTTCGTCCCACTGAAGGTGTGTTTGGCTTCCCATACAACTCGCTACAACTAACCGCCATTGCTTAAGAGTTTGTGAGACGCGCCACATTAAACAGAAGTGTGGACACACAACTTCTTTTTCAAGGGAAATTAGCCATCATCAACTACCGAAATATTTTCTGATTTCAGTAATGCGTATGAATGAATTTCACCAAGGTTGATCAATGTTTTTCGTTTCACTATAGTGTTTGAAATGCTTTTCAATAATTGTTGCCTATACGGCTCTTCATACTGGAGATCTCATATTTGTCTCCTCTAAAGTTTGGAAGAGATCTCAGCAACATCACACACTGTGCTCAGATTTTTTTCCTAAACTAAAGGCCCGGGTGGTCTCATATTTGTCTCCTCCAAAGTTTCAGACAAGAATGAACATTGATCTAGTTCATTTGTACAGTATGGTGTACTGGCAGTATAGCAGTTTTGTCTAATTAGTGTAGAAATATGTGAAATGCTTATAAATCATTAAATGTTTAAGTTTTATAGACCACATTATTACATTTTTCAAGTGTCCAGACATATATTGTTATCCATTCAATATGAAGAGACAATTTTATTAGTCTTTTTCATTATAATATATATTATAACATTTCTAAAGACACTTAATTACTGTTTTGGTAATAAACTCTTATGTGTTAAACTTCAAGCATGAAGTATTGCAAATAATAGAAATAAATGATGAAAATGAAATTGGTCTTAACCCCTTAAGTGTCACCATAGCCATTACATATTTAAAACAGTAATATGCTATACTAAACCTAAACTAATATTGACAAACTATATATCATTTGAAAGCTTACAATCTGTAGGTTTCATATTTGGTGATTGATTATCAAAATAAATTACAGAAGAGCCGTAATCTGTCAATTTGCAACAAGAATATTTTCATATTCCTAAGGCGTGTTAAGACCTTTATTTTGAAATAGTGATGAACATGAAAATCATGAAAGAATGGTAGAAACCTCAGTTTGTTTTCATGCCAATAGTTCAAAAGATAATATCCATTAATTTTTTTTAGAAAAAAAGGTCTGAAAATGTTTTAAATATAAAGAAATAATTGTGTCAGCGAGCTATAACGCACATGCGTGTTATTTTTATGTGATTATTAGAGGTTGAATTCATATCAAAATATGCCAAACTTCCTTTACTACTGAATAGGATGTCTACTTCATAAATTGTATGAAAATTGTGGAAATAATGGTTCAGATCACTCAAAACACATATGGAAATGGAGGCGCCCTTATATGGGCAGTAAAAAGTTTGGTACTGCGCCCAAACAAAATCTTACTGAAAGCTAATTTTTTGAGATATCAACCTAAAATTTGAAACACAACTTGTTCAGAGTTTTGGCTTTGATTTACTTGCAGTTTTAGAGTCCACCAGGTTTTGAAAAAATATATTTTATATCAAATATGAATAATTAAATTTTTACATTTTACATTTTCATAAACTCAAACTTCTATAACTTTTTTACTGTTTCACTTTCTTAATTCACTTTCTTAATTTATTTCACTTCTACAAACATCTGCCAAATGTCTTCTTTAAAACAAGACCAATCTTACATCTATATTCCAAAGCAATCTTGAATTACAACCATTTAAGTTTGGATTGTGCATTTTCATGTTTATTCAAAAAAGGATGCGCGACACTTAAGATAAAAGCTTCAGGTCAGGGGCATTCAGTCCATATACTGTAAGCTGTGAATGCTCTGCTGAACCAATGCATTTAAGAGAATGGGTTCGCGGACTCGCAAATTAATATTAACACTATAAATTCCCTTGTCGTTCTAGGTGTAAAATAAAGCTTACATAATAAAATTATGCTGTACATATGTAACTGTCTGCATACCTGCCAACTTTTGAGTTTTGCTCGACGTGAGATTTGTTGACGGGGGGGGGGGGGGGGGGGGGGAGGGGGGGTAGAGACGAGTGAGATTTGTTGACGGGGGGGTCGCTCGCGCAAGGTCTCTCGCTCGCTCTACGCGGTTTGGAGCACAATCTCTGTCTCGCATGCACGCTCGCTCTAGATAACGGGAGATTTTTAACGAATTTGCGGTATAACTAGTCGATCACGAGTGGCTCAACAGGTAGATATATAGATAAACTCATCTTCCAGGCATTTGACCGCCCGGGTTGACACTTCAGCGTGAGAAATCGGGAGTGTGGCGTGTGAGCGTGTGAAACCAATCAAATGCGGGTGTCTCACGGCCAATGCGTGAGAGTTGGCAGCTATGTGTCTGTCATTTATTTATTTGCCAATCGACTTTTTTTTTTTTTTAAATAAGTGCCAGTTATAAATTAAATTAAATTTAATACATTATTAGCTAAATGTGTAATTTGTATATGTACATTTCTGAAATACATAACTTGGACACAGTCACCTCTGATAACAGATCACTCTAAATTGTAATGTAGATGTGCATTTTCTGTAAAGCTGCTTTGAAACAGCATGTATTGTGAAAAGCGCTATACAAATAAATGTGAAATTCATTGAAAAGTTATGGAGGGTTTTGGGTAAGTGTATCCACAACGTTGGTGCCTACGTTCTGTTATTATGCATCATCATCATCATTGTTCCGCGTTCTCATTGGTTTGCTGGCATTTGGGGGATGCGAAAGGAAAGTTGACTGTGAATAGAGCTTCAGGGATGACATCAAAACCTGGAAGACTAATTCGCCACTGGTTGCCTCGAATTTATGGAAGCTTGTTTCCGCCACGGTATAAAACAATTTAAAAGATAATTGTGACTTTTTATCTCGCAATTCTGACTTTTTCTTGCAATTGTTATTTATGTCACTTAATTGTGAGTTTGGCCCTGTCACAAATGGCACCATAAACACTCGCGGTCTTCCTCTGAGTCCGCACTTTCGTGACAAACGCCGCTTTGACTGTCGGGAAGAAGTCTGCTGCGGAGCTCGCTTCAGTGTGGGCTCAGCAAAAGTGTACATGTAGGGCACATATCGACCGCTGAGCGGCGCTCGTGAGTCCCCTTCTGAAACCTAAAATTACTAAATGGACACCCTACAGTCTCATGGACTTAACGGGATGCGGAAGCCATTGTAAGTCTTCAAGACTGAAAGTGCATATGAAGTGTGCCATTTGGGACAGGGCCTTTATATCTCGGTGAGTGGATTCTGACTAAATGAAACGCCTCTGATTGGCCACTGCGTTCAATAGACCAACAAACATGACTGTGATTGGCTACATTTCTCACCGCTGTAAAAACACATTGTAAATAGAAACATTTGACGTTCTCCAGAGTTCAAACACAAAAACACACTTGAGAGTTTGCTGGTATGATATTATTACAGAATCAACTGAGGGTGCTCTTGCATTCATTTGAGAGTGCTTATATTTAAATTTGACATAAATTTGACTTGGTGTTTTTACCCATGTTTTAATTTAACAAAAAATTATTTGTGATCAAGCATTAATTGACAGACGCCCTGCAGTACGGCTGCGGACACTTGTGTTAAACTGATCTGAACTGAGAGAGTGAAGAGTGTGTCATTGTTCTCTACAGGTTGAGTTATTGTGGAGTCACAGATGAAGGTTTTGCTGCTCTGACTTCAGCTCTGAGATCAAACCCCTCACACCTGAGACTACTGGATCTGACTGGGAATAAACTAGGAGATTCCGTTCCTCTGCTCTCTGCTGTACTGGAGGATCCTCACTGTAAACTGGAGAGGCTGTGGTAAGATGAACTCTCTGATAAACACATATATATTTGTCCTTGCTAAATATATTCTTTATTAGTAATGTAATAGTTTAAACTTTTTTACTCATTGATCACCAACTTTGCTTGTTTCGGGTCTGAAGAAGGAGTGCAACCAAACAATTACACATCCACACAACACAAATGAGAGACAATTGAATACATTTTATTGAGAGCTCATTTTCTGTACAATTATAGTTTTACCAGGAAAACCAAAACCAGTAGTTTTATGTGTGATTCATAGACGCTCAGTTAAACAATAAATTACAAGTGAGTGATACTTACATCAGTCCAAATGCACATTAAATAAATATTCAGTTAAATCAGTGAACATCACCGGTGAGCCAATGCTTGATTAAACATGCTAATCCTAAAACATAAATGTTATTCCCAGCATATATATATATATATATATATACTCCACATCACAAACAAGACAAAGACAAAGATCATTTGTTCACATAATGTCAACATCATGGAATCAAGTCATTTCCAAGTAACATAATTAAGAAGTTTTAAAGTGATTTTAATATGGTTCCCTAACTGGATTAATTCATTCAATTTTACTGCATGGTATTTGTCCCTCAGTTTTACCTCAAGTACACGGAAAACCGACATCCTTTATAAAACAGTGTAGAATATAGTGGCATTCATTGCTTGTCACTACATTCAAATCACATCACACATTGCAATCTTTAATAAAATGGTAATTTTACACACCGTTTACACAGTGTCATTGTTCTCTACAGGTTGAGTAATTGTGGAGTCACAGATGAAGGTTTTGCTGCTCTGACTTCAGCTCTGAGATCAAACCCCTCACACCTGAGACTACTGGATCTGACTGGGAATAAACTAGGAGATTCAGACATAAAGCTTCTCTCTGATCTAAAGAATGATCCACATTATAAACTGGAGACACTATATTGTAAGTGGATTATTTACTACAGATTACAAAACATGGTAATTTGTAACATTTTTCGTTAGATTACACAAGCTTTGTAACCTAATCTAAATAATTTAGAATACTTTGGAATACTAATAAGGTTTGTAACACACAGGGTCCACCAAACATAGGACTTGGTTTCCCCTGCATATTATTTTTAACAACATCAGTTTTACAGAGTATTTCTTGAAGAAATATATATTTTTAGAAAAAAATGATAACTTTTTTTTTTTTTTTTTTACTGATACAACACAATGCATTAAAAGCTGGGGTGTGTACACTTTTTAAATTGCATGAACAATATAAATTGTAATTATTTTGTCTTCTGCGAAACAGGGAATTATTCGCTTCTGAAGGGCAGTACTAAATGAAAAAAAGATGATCTTTAAACAAAATGTACACATCATCATAATCCTGTTTAAAGTTTACACCACCTGCTCGTAATGCATTGTTTCCTTCTTGAGCATCAGTAAATGTTTTCACCTTTTGTAATAGTTGTGTATGAGTCACTCAATTGTCCTTGATGTAAAAAGATGAATCTCAAAATCATAGTCATTGTTGGAAAGGTGTCAAATATGCAGAAGATGCTGGAAAACTTAAAAATGTGCAATACCTGGAGGATTTTTCTGAAGAACAGCGGGCAGGTTCATTGCTCAGTTATTTTTCCTGGATCCTGTAATAAACAATATTTGTTCTCATTATTCTGAGAACAGACACAGTCTCTATGGAATGGACTACATGTGCTATTATCATTTAATCAGTACATAGATGATGTCCGACAGCAGGTCTGCTCTGACTCTGGGCTGCAGGCCATTCTCACAGAAGAATCTTACAATTACAAGATTACAATTAATTGAGAGAGTAGTTTCTGTTCATCACATCATTCATATAATGCGAATAATCTACTGAACCTTTCGTTTCCACGAGGGTAAGTGGGTAGTGTTCCTGACACGATGATCTTTTCACAATGGTCTTGACCAGAATCTCTGACTGTCGCAGCTTGTCGTTCCCCGCGTGCGGCACAACAGCTCTGATGTTCTCCTCACCTTTACATCTCTGGCTGTAATATTAATGTACTCTGTATGTATCTCTGCCTGTGTTTGTTCTGAAATGAATCTACTGGTGTGATGTGACCGCAGTAATGTCTCGTACTCCATATATGACTGTCTGTGTGTTTAAATGTATTTTCCTCAGGGTGAGCTGATGGTGAATAAGGAGCCGCTACAGAGACGTCACAGTCAACAGAGACTGAAGACACAGAGACGTCACAGCGATCTCACTCTCGTGTGTGTGTGTGACTTCACAGCAGTTTCTTGTTTGGATCTTTTTGTGGGTCTGATTTTTTTTTTTATATCACAGATGACATCAGATTACCACAATGATCTAATAGAGGACTTGAACTCACTAATAAATAATGTAAGATTCTTCTATTTGTGATGACCCAAACTGCTGAAGACGCATCTTTTTGTAGACTAAACTGGGAATGGTCACATCACTGCCATATTGTTGGTTTTATTGCTCTCCTCATTTGTATGTCGCTTTGGATAAAAGTGTCTGGTAAATGATCACATGTAAATGTAAAATGTGCTGAAAATTGCTTTGTTATTAATTAGATATCGCACTGCTTGATTACAATGTTGATGGTGTAACTTCCAATATTCAATGACAATTAGATTATTTTAAACAAGATATAGACGGTGTATATTAGTAATTTATTATTTAGGAAAAGGTGACAGAGTTTAGAGTTTATAGATTTACAAGAATGGGATTATAGAAGAGTAATAGAAGTATTTTAAATGAATATGTCAACGGCAAATAGTGACGAAGATGATTTCATCAAACGTTAATTTTTTTTTATTATTATTTTTTTTTATATCATGACCTATAAAATTGTATCCTTAAAAAAAAAAAAAACTATCCAAAGTCCAACAACGTTTTACTGGCGGGCTTATAGCTATATAAGCCCCCATTTTCGCCATAGAATTCAGGTTAAGTCGACTGAAGCGATCCCCTGATCTAAGCACAGTAGCCGGCGGGTTACGCAATACTCGTTCCCTACTCTCAGGGAACCGAGGTTACGTTAGTAACCGAGACGTTCCCTTTCGAGGGGTCTCTTGTATTGGTTAGCTTACGCTATGGGAACCCCTTTCAAAACGCAGTGCGTGCTTAAAAACTTCACCCCAAACTATTGCCTTGGCGCCTGAGGCTCATAGAAGAGTAAAGTTATGAGTCCTAATAGAGGCCAGATCAGTAATGAGCCTCAAATAGGAAAATATAGGAATGGGCCAAGCTCCTTTTTATATGGTATATAGAACTGTGGTTCAGGTTCACCCAGGACAAGACAGACGTCGGGCCCTATAGTTGTAAAGAATTGTGCTTAGACACTATTTATACGGAAAGAACCCTTGCTTGTAAAGCGGGAACAATTATCTTCAATTGGTTTTCCACTGGACCATGCCCATGACGAGGCCATGCCTCTCGTGGAATGAGCTCTGATGCCTATGGGACAACGGAGGCCCTTAGACTCATAAGCCAGCGAGATAGCATCAACCATCCAACCTGACAGTCTCTGCTTCTTGACCGCGAGACCTTTGGTGCGGCTGCCGAAGCATACGAAGAGCTGTTCTGACTGCCTGAAGGGGGCAGAACGCTCTAAATAGACTCTGAGAGCTCTCACAGGGCAGAGTAGATTCACGTCTCTTTCGTCTTCTGACGAGGGAAGAGCTGACAGCGAAATGACCTGTGCTCTAAACAGAGTAGAGAGCACTTTAGGAACATACCTGTGCCTTTGCTTAAGGACGACTCTGGAGCTTTCCTAGGAACCAGGGCTCTGACACAGCTGTAGTTCACTTTGATGTGTAAGTGGCCAGATCACCACGTGTGAGCCGGTACACAGGGTTTTAACCAGCGCTGGAGGGGACGCATATACAGTAGACCCAGTTGGAGTACTGATGATGCTGAGGCCATGACGCCTAACATCCTCTGAAATCTCTTGAGAGGCGTGCAAGATGCTGGATGGTGAGCACGCGCTCTGACGTAAGCTGCGCTCTCATCTGTATAGAATTTATGACTGTCCCCAGAAAAGAAATACTCTGGCTGGGAGACAGTGCGCTTTTGGAAGCATTGATCCTGAGACCTAGGCATTTTAGACAGCTGAGGAGCCAGGGTCTGTGAGTTATTAACTGCGCCTCCGATTGGGCTATAACCAGCCAATCGTCAAGGTAGTTCAACACTCGCGCTCCCCGTTGTCTCAGGGGGGGTGAAAGCTGCGTCAATGCACTTCGTAAAACGTACGGGGTGCTAGGGATAGACTGAATGGTAGGACTGTGTACTGATAAGCCTGCCCCTCGAATGCGAATCTCAAGAATGGCCTGTGATGGGGTGTTATCTGAATGTGAAAGTAAGCATCTTCCAGATCCACTGAGAAAAAACAATCCCCAGGGTGAATTTGTGATATAAGATGGGCCTGAGGCCGCCATATTTCTTTGGAACGAGGATGTAGCGACTGTAAAAGCCCGACTTGCTTAGTGATAAAGGGACCAGTAGCCAGCCTGCCACAAGTTGTAAAAGGTCAAAACTTTTTTTTCTGGTTATTTTTCAGTTGACAGAGCCTTCCTTTAATTAAAGTCTTTGCACACAATTCAAAATACCTCAACTTGTTTTTTTCAAGTCCATCCTCACCTCTAAGAATATGAATATGTGATGAAAGTGTTTATACTGGGTTATTGTTCTACCAAATTAAAAACAAGGCATGGAAAGGATATCACTAGCTAAAAACTAATTTTGGACAAAGAAAATTATAACTGTAAAAAGCTATTTTACCATCAACCCATAGGAAATAAAATACCTTAAGGATTATAGCAAAAGCAGGTCCACTGACATGTTGATGCCTTGCTAAGAAAGCATGACAAATCATCAAGGGTGTTTCAGGCTATGTTAAGGTTAGGGTGTGCTGTGTTTTATGTTTGTCAAGCAATTGGGAAATAAAACGCAAAAAAAATGCAATAAATGCACAATTAAAGCCTGACTCCAACAGAAAAGGGACATGCATTCTTTGCATGGATGCAATAATTCTAAATTATAAAGCACAAGATTTTTGTGGTTCATTTTAGCAATATTTAGGATTCATCCTAAAGTGTGGCACTAGAGGGGCATTGGTAATCAAATTGTGATTTTAGTGTGCCATCCACTGTCTCTGCTATGCAACTGCAGCTCAATCAAATATGTAATCAAAACAATGTTAATATCAACAACTGTCCATTTGGAGAAAAACTAATATTAGCAAAGCATGAACTAATAGTGAAAGCAATATTACAAAAGACATCCATGTCCATTGTCCATATATAACGGGCATATATGTACATACGTATATAACGTCGAACATGGCTCATCCTCCAATCAAATCATCCATTAGGAAGTGTGATTACAATGTCATAAACAATATTTTTGGTTCAAATGATGCTGAAATTTGTGATTTTTTTTTCCCATTCGACCCTGAGTTAGGAGGAACAGCTGACCCTCAGCTGCTGAGCCCAGGATGGAGGTTTACTGGCATATCCGGCTCTCTCAGCCTCTTCCTGCTCCATAAACGGCTCCATTAAAGTCTTCTGCAACAGCGCCACCTAGAGATACATCAAAAATACTGTCACCTAAGAAAAAGACGAGCCATAATGGTCTGTCTGAAGGTGTTACATTGTATGTATAATTGTCAAGTCTTCATTTCACAGTAATATATTAAAGCAAATACTCTAAGATATATGATAAGCATGATCATGACAGCATATTAGTTTGTCATCACATGTAATAATACCTCTGAAAAGTCATTTTTCTCTGCT